TGCCTTGTACTCCAAGTAGATCACTAGATCATAAAGGCGCGCGTTGCGGCGCCCGTCTGTCTTGACTCTTGAGATAAGGCTGGCAGAATGGAGAGATTACCACTGTATATAAGTACTAAAAGAGAACAATGTATGCACTTTTAGCAACAGGAAGATACCAACTCACTCCACCATGCAAGAGAAAGAACCTAAAAAGCTCAATACATGAAAACCGTGAGAGAAGTAAATTCTTTCTATGCATCATGCACATGGTGTAAGATCAATTATCAATATATAACATTCTTGAAAAGGTTCCAACCAAATGTGGTCTTTTTGCACCACCTAACAATGTGTAGTATAGGACCAATGTTCATGAGTAAATTTAATAAGTACCAAAATTAATTAGTGTTATATAGCGATGGCTGTCGGATGCAATCAGGCATAACCATCCCTGCTAGACCCTCAACTTCCAATATCTTCATAATGGTTGCAGCATCACATGTGATTGTAATATCAACAATATAATCCACCAGCATCTGCAAGTCACACACAGTAAGTTAGTTCACCTTAACAAGTTTTTCTTTAAAGAATTTATTGGCACAAATTCCACACTAAAAAATTGGATTCGGATATTAAGTTGATTGTCTAGTACCTTGTGGATCTCTCGCATGACTTGTGAGAGGAACAAAAGTGCTTGCGTCAGGTTATCTACTGTACTATATCATCAATATGGTATACAGCTAAGGAACAATTGAAGGATCAAATTGAGCAGTACGTGCAAAAGAACAAGAAGATGACGGTGAACCTTAGGTGCGGAGCTGGAAGGTGTATATATTGGATACAATGACACACCAGCCCTTAATGCCGCTCGTCCTTTTTTGCGCCCTCGTCCTTGCAGCCCCTGAACCCAACCAATGTGAAAAATGTAAATATGAAAGGTCACTACCATTTTCATTGCTACACACAGAAGTTAGTTTAGTAGAACAGTGTGGTTCAGAAAAAAAAATTAGTAGAACAATGGAGGATTCCTTGTTGTCATTGGAGTCATTGCAGAGGCCGCCGGGTGTGTTGATGTAGTGGAGTGGCGCCCATTGTACGTGACCCTGATGCCATCGGGCCAGGAGCTCATGTTGATAAGATTGACTACGCTGATGAGGGAAACATCTCCTTCAGATTACCGACAAGTTTTATACAAATATGTAAAGATGAAGAGACATAGGTAAGGAATTGGTCAGAATCAGGAGAGATGTGATTTGGCGATCACGATGTGTCCTTCCGGATGTAGACTCTGTGATTGTGGATTTCTATTTTCACCCCATAGATACACGAAGGGGAGAAAAGGCCCATTTCCGTGGAGGTGGGATTTTGGGTGCACCTGCGGGCGTTGATCTCCACCGTCACCAAGGTCGTGACGCACCATCGTCGGAGCTGCCCTTGTCACCGTCAATTCCCATCGGCCCATCTGGGACGCTTCCAGCCGCTGCCGCTATTGCCAAAGGTTTGATTAGGTTTTTTTTTGGAAATAAGAGGTTTGATTAGGTTTAGGGGCTTCTTAGGCAAGAAGAGGAGAAGGCTCGTGGTCGAGAGGAACCTCTCCCTCGTGCGCGGTGAAGAGACTATCAAAGAAAGCTATGGGCCACGCAGTCTTGGCCCAATTATTGAGAAGAGGCCCAGGTAGATCCCGGGAGCAGCAGCCCATCAACGTTGGGCCAGCTAGAACGCACAGGTGGAAAGGTGAAAATGGATCGCGGTAGGTGCTGGGACGACTGAGCAATCAAGGACGTTGGTTAGTTTGATCGGACGGTCAAAGATCTCAAATCACTGTGAGAGGCCGTAGGTGGCTGAGTTATACTGTTTTTTAATGTACTCATATATATATGCCCATGAGGCTCAAGCAATACAACGATCGATTCCACTAATCCCCTCTCTCCCTTTTAACAATCAAACTTCAAAAAAATGCATGAATTTGTAAAACAAGTTCATCAATTTCCAAAACAGTTCACAAATTTGAAAAAGTTCAATAATTTTGTAGAAGAATCATCAAATATGAAAAAAGTTCATCGGTTCTGGAAAAAAATATGATTTCAAAAAATGTTTATCGATTTTAGAAAATGTTCATCAACTTTTAAGAAGTCATCCATTTTGAAAAATTTAACGAATTTTAATAAAGAAAAAAAGAAAAATCAGAAATGATAAAAAATAGAAACTACGGTTCATAAAAACATATAACATAAAAAAAGTGGTAAATACACCAGAAGTTATAGAACTTGCACGCGGCCGTTAGTTTGGTGCACAAACTTGCAAAATACGTGTTTCTGGTCATCAAACTTGGAACGGTCATATTTCATGTACACAGACGTATATGTAGTCTACATGGCATGTTAGTTTGGCCAGGGCCGTTGTCAGGCGTTGTCACATGGTAGATTTCAAGAAAAAACCCTTGCCTCTTTTATTTACCTATTAAGTCCCTAAAATAAAATGATAAAACACAAATCAATGGTTGGGGGGGGGGGGGTTGAACGAGCGACCTGCCCCTTGCAGGCTCGTGTGGACAACCACCAGACCGATGATCAGTAATGTATGGAAAGCACTACTAAGGCCCTTCCCAGTGCTCCACCATGGACAGGTGCTAAGCATGCCATATAAGCGAAAAAATGACATGGCACAACATTTAAGGAGGGGAGAGTGTATTTTGGTGACCCCAGAAAGAACCAATGCCAAGCACGAGAACCTAGGCAAATCACTTAAATAAAACAATTTGACCAATGCATGAAAGACTTTAGGTGCTAACTCATTAAATAAAATGTGCTTAGCAACAACAAGTTAAGCACCTATGCATTGAGGAGTTGAGTTGCTAAGATATTTGATGCACTTAACACCTCATCTAAGCATCTTTGCATTGAAAGAGGTCTAACGTCTATATCATATAAATACGGACCTAAAATAAATTTGAAAGGAAATGTAACCTAAAATCAAAGGGCGCCATGGCTTGACCATGTGATCTCATGGTCAACGTTATTTAAGATTACCACCAGACTAGTACAACACAACATGTTAGAAGGGATAAACATTTTTCATGTTGTTCTATGTAAGCAAACAACTTATATTCTTGTGTTTGTGACATTAAAAAAATATTTATGTGTTACCAAAAAAGGTACATGACATTTAAAAACCATTGTGAAACATATTTGTGTAATTAAAAATATACATTACATTTTAAAAATGTTTATACAATGTTCCCATAGTTAAAAAAATATTTCATACCATCCAAAAATGCTTAACATGTATTTTAAAAAGTTTCAAAAACTTGTATTTGATAAAATGTTAATCATATGCTTAAAAAAGTAAAAGTGTTTAATTTTTTAATATGTATAATGGAAAAAATAGACATCAAAACATATATTTAAAAAATCGTTAATCATGTATTCGGATAATGTTAAACAGATATTTTAGAAATATATGTTTTTACGTGTAGTTTTTTCAATATACATCTTAAAATATTTTATACGCGTTTAATAAGTTTTAAACATAAGATTACATTTTTTCAAGTATAAGTTTTTTAAACTCTTTTTGAAAACATGATAAACATATTTGGATGGTACGAAACATTCTTTAAACTGTGCAAAAGAAAATTTAACTATGCGAACATTTGTTAACATTGTATAAAGCTTTTAAAAATGACATGAACAATTTTTTGAAATGCGTGAACATTTTTGAAATTCAACATATGTTTTTTAGTTACACAAATATATTTTACAATGTTTAAACAGTTTTAAAATCTCATGTATATTTTTTTGTAACACACAAACATTTTTTACATGTCGCAAACACAAGAATATAAATTGTTTTCTTACATAGATCAAGAAGGAATATCAACATGAAGTTTTTTTTATCGCTTTTAAAAATGATGTGTTGTCGTAGCCTGGTGGTAGTCTTAGTTAACGTTGACCATGAGGTCGGATGGTCAAGCCATGGTGCTCCCTTTTTTCGGGTTACATTTCCTTTTTGACTTTATTTTTCGGTCCATGTTTACATGATATACTACATATTAGCTCTGCTGTTATCAAACATGAATGATCATTGTTCTAGTGCTTGTCCACACAAGCCTACAATGGGGAGGTCGGTGGTTCGAACCCCCCTACCATCAGTTTGCTTTTTATCATTTTATTTTAGTGGCTTAATACGTTAATAAAAAAGGGAAGGGCTTTTCTATAAAATCCGCCGTGCGACAGCGGCAGGCCCTAGCCACGCAGGCATGCCATGTAGGCAACGGGTACGTCCGCATACATGAAATGTAACTGTATATGAATGCCCATGCAAATTTGATATAAGTTTATGTATCAAACTGACCGTCGCATATAAGTTCTATGACTTCTAGTATATTTACCTCTAAAAAAACTGTCCAGGAGCTTTTGGAAGCTTCCCAAAACCGGCATGGGAAGGTTTTGGGAGCTTCTCGTAACCGGGAAAGAGGGGATTCGTCTGGTGCGTTAATATGGGCCAGCCCAATTTGATGAGAGAGCACGGCGTTTGCAAAAAAGGAAGAAACCAGCGCTTTAGGCGTCGTTTAGGATTACACGCGGACCAGCACCTCAGCCGCCCAGCCAGTCCCCTGCTTCCACAACATTCCGGTCACATGCCGAACAGTGCAGTCCTCAGTTGACCCCACCACTGACGGCACCGACGAAATATCTGGAACGTTCCGGAACCACGCGCTCCCGCCGTCGCCCCTCCCACCCAACCGATTCCAACCCGACCCGACCACGGTTTAACGTCCTCCCCAGTCCCCAACCGCGCAACGGAAGCCACCACGCCATCAGGAAAATTGGGGCCCACAGCTCAGAGACCCAGCGCGCCAGCCTAGAATCTTCCAGAACTTTCACCCCACCCGTCGCCCTCCGCCGTCTTATAAACCCCTCCTGTTCCAAATCCGCTCAACATCTCACGAGAAAAACAGAGAACTCGCCGGCAGAGGCTCCTCCTCTTCTCCCCTCTCGCTGTCGGCTCCCTCCCTCGCTCCCATGGACTCGGCGAACGGCGACAACATGGCGGCCGGCATCATGCGGCTGCTCATGCTGATGGCGAGGGGGCCCTCGGCCGCGGACGCAATGCCGGGGGCGGGCGGCGGGCGGGTGACGGTGCATCACTTCATCCTCGGCGGCGACCTCTTCTCCGGCGAGGTCGGCGGCGGCGTCCCGCCGGCGTCCAAGGCGGCGATCGCCTCGTTGAAGGAGGTCCAGGGCGCCGGCGGGGACGGCGAGGGCGAGGGCTCGCTGGGCGACTGCGCGATCTGCCTCGACGCGTTCGGGGCCGGCAAGGAGATGCCGTGCGGGCACCGCTTCCACGGGGAGTGCCTGGAGCGGTGGCTAGGCGTGCACGGGAGCTGCCCCGTCTGCCGCCACGAGCTCCCCAAGGCGGACCCGGCGGCCGAGGAGCAGCAGCAGCAGAGCGGCGACGGCGAGAGGCGCGGGCCCAGGGGCGCGGTGCTGGTCAGCATCGTGACGCTGCGAGGAGCGGAGAGGCCGCAGGAGGAGGAGCAGAGGGAGGAGCCGATCAACATCCGGATCGAGGACGTGGATTAGGAGTAGGGTTAGGCTTCCAATTGGTTCCGATTGGTTCGTTTCAAGGCGGCGGCGGCGGTTTACTTTTCTTCATCATCTTCGTTGTACATACACCAACTAGTAGTTGCTGAAGAGGAGAAGAGGAGGAATTGGGGGTAAAACTGTGTACATAATTCAGATGCGGAAGATGCTGTGATGTCAATGAAACTGGTTTTTTTCTCCCTTCAGACAAAGCACTGTGTTTGCAATTCTGCTGCGCAGCCAAATTGCCTGCTTCCAAATTCCAAATTCGCAATGATCTTGTCAAATTCCTTGTTGTTTCTGCACGGTAGCTTCAGGACGAACGGATTTGTGCATCCCATCGTTGGTTTCGGTAGGTGCTGCGCCCAGCTGCTTGCTGGTGCTGTGTATGCGTCAACATCGAGACTGGAGGGGTGTGGCTGGTCGCGTAACATCTGTCAATGTGGTTGGTGATCGAGACGCAGCTGCTGCATCGAGGCTGAAGGCCACTCTCTGCACTGAGCCGGAGAAAACGACGGACCGTGAAAGGAAAATGGCGACACATCTGAATACTCCAGTAATTCTGCTGGGGACTGGGGTTTATCCTTATTCTTTTCCGTGAAAGGAAAATGGCGACACATCTGAATACTCCAGTAATTCTGCTGGGGACTGGGGTTTATCCTTATTCTTTTCCGGGTGCAGATAAGAGCAGCTGTGACCTATCCTAAGACCTCAACACTCACCTCCCGGCAACCTGCTCCTAAAACTGGGATGGTGGCATCTAACCCATCTCCAAAACTTAACTCTTAACAATTTTTATTACTCCCTCCGTTCATTTTTATAAGTCATTTCAGACAACTAAAATTGAGCTATTTTGTACACTGTCTGAAATGCTACAACGCCTTATAAAAGTGAACAGAGGGAGTATTATTTCTGCATTCCTTTAGAAACATTCCAAAGCAATTGTTTTCAATAATTCAAACTCAGACACAACATAGGGTTCAAATGAAAGCAAATATTCTGAATGAACATGATGCAAATATGATGATATGAGAAAGATCTACGGTCCAATATATGTCCAATATATTGCCACATGCGCTCCACAAAGGCCATCTCGCAGTTGCCCATGAGATTGCCGGTGGTTATCTCTTTAATGATCAAAGTCATGGTCATCTCCCCCACAATAAAAAAAAAGTCATGGCTATCTCGAATTCATCTTCTTACTCCTCCGACAATGAGTTGCTGAAAAAACTCTTGAACAAGTCTCCACATATGTCAACTGCTTCACAAAATTATTATTTTTTTCGAAAAGGGAAACTCACAAAATTAATTGAATGACATATTCATTTAGAGAATATAACAAGCAAAAGTGAGATGGGTTAGATATGCCTAACTTTCAAATCTGGCAGTTTTGGGGAGTTAAAGAATTTGTTTGAATGGATTAAAGTTGCTCTAGTAGTACGGCATTCGCTTCGCAAGATCTTGAACATCGCTCTCCTCCATCATGTGACGTCCTTCCTCTTATACCCCTTCCGTTCGTCCTTGTGCAAGTTTCCTCAACTCATAAAGCGTGCGGAAGGTCTCGCTCGAAGACTAACGTGTTGTTCCACTGTTCTTGTATTAGTTTTTCTAATATGTTTATTTTATGCATGGAGAAATCTCTGACATGTTTTGGCTGTAGAAACTTTTAAAAAAATAGTGTGGACTTCTCTTTAGTTTCGAGAAAACCAAATAGGAGGAAAGTTCACAATTCACTATTGGGAAAATATAATTAGTCATTTTATTATGAAAAAACAGATAAAAACAGTGTGCCTTTCTTTAATAGGAATGGCATGGCACACAAATCTTACAATAACATTCACATGCATACTATTTACACTTAAATGACCCCCATTTTACGGTGCTCTAACGGGTCGATGAGCTAATAAATCTTCTATACAACAATCCTCTATAACACTATGCTTCCTAGTTTTAAAGAGTCTATATTCAGTTGAGGTCTCCAATTAAAATTCGGTCACATGATTTTGACCGGGTCAACAATCTCTCAAACCTTTCTCGTTCAATTCATTTATACTATACACTATGCTTTCTAATTTTGAAGGCCTCACAATTTAGTTGAGATATTCAATTTAGAATTGGTCACCCGATATTTATCGGATCAACAATTTCTCAAACTCTCGCACTCAATTCTTTTAATTCACTATGTTCCCTAATTTTTAAGCTCTTTAATTCAATTGAGGTATTTATTTTTGGATTTTGTTTACAATTTTGACTGGTCCAATGATTTTTTAAATCAATCAGCAGCAACTGTCCTATACAAACATATCAATCCTGTGCACCCTCCCACCATCCTGGAAAAAGCAAGTGACTGTACCACCAATATAGTACATGCAACGCCGACGCAAAATTTTTCCCACATAAAGGTTGGTCAGTGGATAACATAGAATCAACCACGAAAGGCCCACCGAATCATCGCATTATAAATAAAAATTAAACACACTCCATCATCTCCCTCACCCGTCAAACTAAATATTCCATTAGTTCCAAATTATAAGGTGTATTAGTTTTGTGAGAAGTCGAATTTCTTTCGCTGACCAAGTTTAGAGCAAAATTATCGGCATCCACAATATTAAACAAAAAATGTACAGAAATTCATTTCATGATGAATCTAATCATATCGATATGATATTATGGATTTTGATATATTTCTCTACAAATTTGATCAAACTAAAAGATTCAACTTTTCAAAAAAGTAATACACCTTCCCCGCAAAAAACAAGTAATACACCTTATTTGAAAATTGATTTTCTAAACAAATCCAGCAACACCAACGGGGTAGCAAAGCGCACCCAACCCTTCTAGTTAATACACTATGCTTCCTAATTTTTAAGGCCTCACAATCAATTGGGTCTTCAATTTGAAATTGGGTCACTCATTTTTGACCGGGTTATTAATTTCTTAAGGGCCTTTCTCATTGTATCATTTTAATTCATCATGCTCCTAAGTTGAAGCTCTCTCATTTGATTAAGGTATTTAATTTTGGATTGGATTCACTTTTGACCGGGTCAACAATTTTTTCATATCAATCGGCAACAAACCGGACTATAAAAACATATCAATACCACACAGCTCTCGCCACCTAGAAAAAAAAAGCGCAAAGATATGATACTATAACACTAATATAGTGCATGCCACTGACGTAGAAAATTCCCCTGCATAAGTAGGTTGATTAGCAGATAATGTAGAATCACACTGCGAAAGGCCCACCAAAACACCGCATTATAAATAAAAATAAAATACACTTCATCATCTCCTCAACTCACCAAACCAAATACTCTCCCGGTTTCAAAATACAAGGTGTGTTAGTTTCTTGAAAAGACAAATTTCTTTAACTTTGAGCATGTTCAGAGCCAAAAATATCAACATCCATAATACTAAATAGATAAAATAGGAAAATTCATTTCATAATGAATCTAATGCGCCGGTTTGATATTATGGATATTGATATATTTCTCTGCAAATTTGGTCAAACTTAAAGAGGTTTGACTTTTCAAAAACTAATGCACATAATATTTTGAGATAGAGACCCTGTTCTGATGTCCTCCCAACTCCAAAAACTCCTCGAATCGAGCTTTTGATGGTAGCTTCCAGTTCCACGCAGCGACAGGAATCCTATTCGGTAGCATCGCTGGCTTCTTGCGTCGCCACCATGGGTCGGCAGCATGGGTGGCCTGATTGAGCGCCTTAATGGGCCGTTCTTGTGTACGAGAGAGGGATTCAAGGGGGAAAGGGTCGGGCAGTTCTATTTCGACAGGGAAGAGGATGCAACGTCTTCTTTGACGGGGGCAATTCTCTGTACATATGTCAAACTCTCAGCTTCTCAATTTGGTGGAGTTGGGCTTTCCCAGCTTCGCAGTTTTACACTACGGTCAGCTACAGCTTCTCAGATCCAGCTTCTTGGTGCTAAAACGTTAGGCTCGACTCCAACTTTGGAGTTTGTGGAGTTGGCAGCTGGAGGACATCAAAACATGCCCATAGAGAGTAAAAAAAGTATGAAAACCAATAACACCAACGACGCAACAAAGCACGCCGTACCCTTCTATTATCTCTACTACATAGTACACAAATTTTTGAACATGGACTCGTCGCCCGCCATGATGTAGAAGCATTTATTTGCCGTTGCTTTCTTACCCAACCCAACTGATTCAATGGCTTTGGTTTCAGGGATTTGCTTGGTGCGGCCACACGCCAGAACGAGGAGCCGGATTCTCTAACATGCACGAGAGAAGTCACACAGCTACAGTAACTTATGTGTAGAAAATGGAGAAGGGATGTCAGGAAGGCTAGCACTGTCCGCGAATCACTGTAGACCCAACACTATTCATGAGTACTGTAGATAATTGATGTTTGTAGATCCTGTATTAGATCATGGTTTAGAGAAGTCTGGTGAAGGGATGTCAGGGTATTGTAGCTTTTCCTGACTTCCCTCCTAATGTTAGAGGATCTGGATTCCCAGAACGAGGTGGAGATGGTCTTTCTGGAATCATCATGAACCCACTATACACTTGCATTGTTGCACACTCACGGTCTAGTGTTGATGAGATCAAAAGTTCTATACATGATCTTCTGTGGCTGTTTTCTCAAGCTCCCATCGTGTAAAGACATATGGACATGAAGCCATGTAAAATTGTATCGTGTAACTTCGATTGTAGTTTGATCGCAAGACATCGCGTGCATATCACATGCCATCTACTAGTATATCACAAGCCCGAGGAACCTGAGGGTCTCCACTTGCCTCGTCATTATCATATCCCAGGCGCCTTGTGCGCGTGGGCCATCGTTTGGGGAAGGTGTTGCATGATACTCCTCAAGTAGATAGTACAGCTCTCTGAATAAGGTTTATGATTCCATCAAGTGTAACAAATCAAGTGATCTAGATCTAGCAAAACCGCGTTAATGTACTATAAACAACAACTGCGCTCAAACATCGAAGCATGTGGACTCATCACCAGGGAACCAGA